CAGGGACACAGGGGGAGACAGGGATGGGGGGGGACAGGGACAAGGTGGAGACGGGGACACAGGGGGCACAGGGACACGGGGGGATGGGGACATGGCGGGGACAGGGACACAGAGGGGGGACAGGGACACAGGGGGGACAGGGACACAGAGCTGCAACCACGGGGACATGGGAATGCCCTCATGGGTCCCCCTGGCCTTTTGGGGGTTCATTCCTGCCAGGAGCTCCCGACCGATCAGGAAAGAGCTGAGCACAGCACAGGACAGCACAAAGATGGGAAAGGACTTTCCCATGGGAAGAGAAGAAGCCAGCATGTCCCAGCACACCACCACAGCCACACGGCCACACTGCCCCGTCCTGCTGCACCAGGACAAGCCTCGGGAGCGGGGACAGCCAGCACCACCCGCAGAGCCCCTTAATCACACTCCTTCCCCGCTTAGAAATCTCCTGATTAATTTTATATTCTGGAAAATGCCGAGCAGGCTGCAGACACTAAGAGGATTTTAAAGGAGTAAATTGATTAACTGCAGAAGGTCCTGGGGAGGCAGGGATGGATGCAGGGATAGATGCAGGGATGGATGCAGGGATGGATGCAGGGATAGATGCAGGGATGGATGCAGGGATAGATGCAGGGATGGATGCAGGGATGGATGCAGGGATGGATGCAGGGATAGATGCAAGGATGGATGCAGGGAGGGGTCAGCGCAGCACCGGAGCCTTTCAGCTCCCTGGAAATTCCTCGGTGCTTGGAAGCACCAGGTGAACGTGCTGGCAGTGGGGACAGAGAGTAAGAGGGAGCATTAATATTTTAAGATGCCCCATCTGCTCCCACATCTCTGTACTCTCCATGATCCATCAACCACATGGCACAGCTCTCACAGGAAGAGACACAGTGCTAGCAGGAAAAGGAAAAGTGCTAGCACCCCAGGATGCTCAGCAGCTCCCAGAGGCCTGGGAAGCAGGAATCCCAGAATCCTTGAGGTTGGAAAACACCTCCAAGACCACCGAGCCCAACCTGTGACCAATCCCCACCTTATCAACCCAACCAGAGCACTGAGTGCCACATCCTTGGACACCCCCAGGGACGGGCACTCCACCACCTCCCTCAGCAGTTCCTTCCAATGGCTGACCATCCTTTCCATGGGAAAATTCTCCCTGAAATCCCACCCGAGCTGGGCTCGGAGCTGTTATTCCCGAGCCAGGCTCCCACCTGTGGGCTGGCGCCGCTGGTGGTAGATGTGCAGCGCTCCGCCCTTGTCCACGCGTGTCACCACCTGGTACTCGGTGCTGTTGAAGCGGTTGACGCGGATGACGCTGGTTTTCTGCTGGGCGTTGGCGTTGTCCGAGTTGGTGGCGTACAGGTAGTTCTCGAAGACCGTCAGCCCGTACAGGTGCTCGATCTGGAAGGCACCAGGTGGGCGTCCCCAAAGGATTTAGGAGTTGTGAGAGCCAGGCTCTGAGATGTGCAAAACCCCTGATGCCACCCAATGGCTCTTGGCCATCACTGGCCATCAGAGTGGTCTCATCTGCCAATGGCACAAGGTCATCCTTGGCAGGACCACGCTCAGCACGTTCCTTGCTGGACTTTGCTAAAGCCACCACTGCAAACAGGACACCGAGCTCCCATCCCAACCCTCTCCGCCAAGCCCTCTCCCTCTCCCCCAAACCCACTCACCAGGATGCCCTGGATGATGGTGTGCCTGTTCTTGCCCTCGTAGTCCACCACCTCGATGTAGTCCAGGTAGGCATCAGCCCAGTACACCAGGCGGTTCACCAGGTCCAAGGTGATGCCGTGAGGGAAGACAATCTTGCTGTCCACCAGCTTGGTGCGGTTCTGCCCGTCCATGTCACAGCGCTCCACCTTGGGGATCTGCCCGTAGTCGGTGAAGAACACCTTGCTGTGAGAGAGGAGCAGAGGAGGGAGCTCAGAGCCAGGATGAGCTCTGGGAGAGGGAGGATATGGATGTGTGGATCCCCACGGGGATGACTGGGGTCAGGCACAGATCCCCTGGGAGATGTGTTGGTGTCACTGCAAGAGGCCCGCACGTGGGGTTGTTCATGTTCAAACACAACCTGAGGCAGCTGCCTGTGCATCCCAGAGCCGTCCTGCCCAACACAGCACAGCAGAGCCAGGGATCAGCACTGCCACCACAGAGCTCAAGGGACTTCACCCAGCCCTGCTCGAGCCTGGAGTCTCTCTCCAGGATCCTCTGCCATATTTGTTTGTTTATATGAAATACCCCCGATTTTCTGCTCAATAACACCAGCTTTTTCCATCTGAGCCAGCAGGGAAGTGCCCATCAGGAAAGCAGCTGGTGAGGGAGGAATTTTCCTCTTTAGTGGTTTCTCTGCTCTGCCCACCGTGGCCTCGGCCACAGCAGCTTCCAGCTGCCGGGGGCTGGCAGCTGCCACGTGTGCCCTGAGCTGCTCCCATGACTCAGCATCCTGCCATCCCCATCCTCGGGGCTGGGCACACAGGCACGAGGGAGCTGCTCTGGCCACGGAGCCACCTCAGCTCCCAAAAGCTGGAGCAAAGCTGTGACCACGCTGCCTGGCACGAGCTGGAAGCAGCAGCTTATCCCAAGCTGAGCCGGGGGTGTCCCGCAGGACTGAGCCCTCCCTGCACAGCAGCTGCCAGGGCAGGCTGGGTGGGAAGTGTCCCTGCAGAGGGGGCTCACAGAGGTACAGGAAACTCCCCCTACCCCAGAGGGAGAGGCCACCCTCGTCAGTTGTCCCCCAGGACTCACCCCATGGCTGGGTCCAGCGCAATTCCCTTGGGATTGTACAGCTCCAGGTCCAGCAGCGTGACGCAGGTGTCCCCGTTTTTGTTGCAGACGAAGATCCTGTCATCAATGTCATCCACGAAGTAGAAGTTGCCCGTGAGCCAGTCGATGGCCATCTGCTCCACGTCTGGGCAGGGAGAGGGAGGG